ACACACAGACACAAACGCACGCACGCAGACAGACACAGACAGACAGACAGACAGACAGACAGACACACACAAACACACACACACACAGACACGCGCACACACAGACACACACAGAGACAGACACACATACACGCGCGCACACACACACAGAGACGTCAGGCGTCTTACATGCATCTACAGACGATAATCATCATGTAACATATCAGCAGGTTTTCAGATATTCAGATATGAATATGAGGTGCTGCTGTGGAGATTTGATATTGTGTGTGATGGAAATCACACTGGTTAGTTTTTGGAAAAGTTGCTAACACAACAATCTAACTAGCAGTCCATTTACTTTTTTATTGATTAAAATAAGAAGAAATTGATTGTTTTTGAATAACTGATTTGAGCTAGTGAAAAAAATATACTAATATTTAAAATACTTATATACTACAAATACTTTTACATATTTATGTACTTAATAAAAAATATCCTGCAATTGTACTTTTGGTATACTAAACTGGCATATTTAAAATCTGCTAAACTGGAACAACTAATTTTGTACTTAATGTACTTTACTGTGCGGAAGTAGTGCTGGAGTCCAACTAAACACATACTGAAGTATATTTGATTCAGCTGAAATTGAACTATTACAAGTATACTTCAGGTACACTGTATATCTTGCATTTAAAGATTGATCATGAGATCTGACTGAAATCTTTATTAATAGTGATAATCAAACACATTTTAGGCATAATATTAAGAAATGTGCATTGTGCAATAAAGAAATAATCCAAATAAAGTTTTTTATATATAATTTTATATCAGTAAATCCTAAATGATATGTCAATAAATATGTTCGAATTATACTTAGTACGAAATAAATGTATTTTAAATATATTATAGCATAGGTTTTTTTTTCTATAGGGTGGTACTGACACCTAAAGTGAAAATTAAAGGATGTTTCTAATGTCCAAACAGTTCCTGTCACGTCTCATTCGCATGTTCAGAAAACAGAAATTTTAATGTTTGACATGATAATGACATCAGTATTGGGACACCGATTCATTGTTGTTAAATATTTGTCACACACATGCATCGAAAATTCTATTTTCTAGTAAAAAGTGTGAATCATTTTGATTTTAAGACTGTTTGTTTATTTAACAGAATGTAGGTCATTAATCATGTTTGCTGCATGAAATAGTCAATAGTTTGTTGTTACATTTACTGAGAATAATCTACTTAAATATATTCAAATAAATGTAATAGATCTCATTCACCCCAAAATGGCACAATCAATAGTCACTGACCCAAAAACTTCAAACAACAGAACAAATGTAGCGATGCATCAGTTGTTTGTCTTTCATAAACTAGTGATTTCCACACATTATTATGAGCGTTTGTGGTCTGTGTTCAACTCTACCTTGATTTTGTCCTCATAGAGTCGCTCCTTCTGGACCAGGTGGGCTTCCATCCTCTGCGCTGTAGTCTGAGTCTCCCGCAAGTTTTCCTCAAGCTCCTAAACTCGCACGCACGCACACGCACACACACACATACACGCACACACACAGTCCACTGTCAGGTAACAGGTAGATCCAAACTGTTGCCAGCAGTAAAATCCCATCACCAGGTGAAACTAAGAAATGAACTTGCTCTGAGAAGCTGAGCGCTGCTCAACGGGACGGCATGAAGGTGTGTGCGTTCCTCACTGAGAGGTGCAGAGGTGTGTGTATGTGTTCCTCACTGAGAGGTGCAGAGGTGTGTGTGTTTGTTCTGTCATATGCTAATCTGTAGGAATCTGAGAAGACAGACGCACAAGGATGACGGTGCAAAGACAGATGTGAACAGAGACCTCTGTGTCTGTGTGTGTGTGCATGTGTGCGTCTGTGTGTGTGTCTGTGTCTATGTGTGGGTTACAGCTCAGCTGGTTAAGGAGGCGTGTTAGTGGTTTAATCTTTGCTAGTCTGATCCGTCCCTCTCACCAGTATCTTCTCAGCCATCTGTTGGATCTGTTGGGATTTGGTCTGGATGTCGTCCTTCAGTTTATTCTCTCGACGCTCCACCATCTCCAGACGCTTCACTTGGTTTTCCAAAGTCTTTCTGCCATCCTGAACATAAGAGTGAAATTAAGAACATAGTGATTTAACAACTATTACAGATTCATTCCTCCTGAAGTAACCTGTTCAGGAATCACACCAAACCTGTCAAGAATCTTATCAAGCTCATATTACACATCTAACTCAAAAGGAAGAAATTATATTTGTATATTTAAAAAAAAAATGTTGACATTATTCTCATCATAATTCAGCACATTTAAAACACACAAATTCTCATTACTGTAATTGAAATATCAATTAGAGTAAAATAAACATTTGCTGTACTAAACACATTACTGTTTAAAAGTTTGGGTTCAGTAAGATTTATGAAGAAATTATTTTATTCATCAAGGACACATTAAATTGATCAGTAAAGACATTTTTAATGTTACAAAAGATTTCTATTTCAAATAAATGCTGTTCTTTTGAACTTTCTATTCATCTGTGAATCCTGAAAAATAAAATGTATCACGGTTTCCACAAAAATATTGTGCAGCACAACTGTTTTCAACATTAATAATAATCAGAAATGTTTCTTGAGCAGCAAATCAGTATATTAGAATGATTTCTGAAGATCATGTGACACTGAAGACTGGAGTAATGATGCTGAAAATTCAGCTGCGCATCACAGAAATCAATTACAGTTTAACATATATTCACAAAGAAAACAGTTATTTTAAATTATAATAATATTTCACAATTTTTACTGTTTATTGATCAAATAAATTGGTGGGCAGAAGAGACTTCTTTCAAAATCAACTTTTAAACCATAGTATACTTATTTAAAAAAAAACATACAGTGTTTTATAATATAATGAAATAAAAATATTATTACTATTTAAGTAATGAGATCTAATAAGAATCATAATTATGACAATTATTAAAAAAGAAAAACATCCAGGCATATTACAAAGCAATTAAAAATTGTCATGCAAAAAGAGTTAATATAAAAACCTTCTTGGTCCTAAAAACTTTTTTGATTTTCTTTATGCAACTTATTTTTTGTCCTTTTTAATAATGGTGTGAACAATGATCCGGTGATAAACATTTCAATCAGGCCAGTTAATTATCTGATATTTGTCCATTTTGAGATACAGTATCAGCTGATAACTGTGTGTCAGCCGCTTAACAGAAGCATTAACACTCTCTACTGTCAGTCCCACAATCCACCAGCAGTGCACATTATCTGTGTGTGTGTGTGTGTGTGAGAGAGTGAGTGAGTGGTGGGTGTGTGTGTGTGTGTGTAT